TCTCCAGATAGTTTAAACATTAAAGATTCCTCTCAGGAAGGTAAAATCTTCCTGGTTCAGCATCAAAAGATTCTTCCCTGTCAAAACAAGCCCTTTCTTCTGCTTTGGAATGGACGTGTGCAACCAAACAGAAGGCCCAGAGCTGACGGAACAGGAATGGTGGAGAGTGAGGAGCGGAGCAGAAATTTGAAGGAAAAACGGGCCAGAGAGAACCTGATGAGGAGAGAGGCCTGAAGGGAGGGGAAGAAAGTTTGGAGACTTGGTCAAGGCTAAGGCACCAAACACGAGCTCACCACACAGAAAGGCTTTCCCCTCTCTGCCCTTCAAAACGTCTCCACAATGGGATACACAGGCATTTTCATTCATACATCCACTCATTCATATCTTCAGGGTATATCAGAAAGCCCCTCAAACTTAGTTCCATTTTTCAGACAGAACCTCAAGGCTCAGAACAGCAACCTGACTTGCCCAAATCACACAGTCTATACCAGAAGCAGCTGTACCTCAACCATTTTCGCTCCTTGTACTGTCCACTCCCTTGTTGGCGACCCTTTCATGCTATAATAAACTCGGTGAGGGCAGGAGCTGTGCTGAATTGTTCTTGTTCAGTGTTATACCCATAGTCCCAGCACCGACTGGCTGCTCAAGAAATGTTTGCCAAGTGAATGAACTGCACCACACGCTAGAGGCAACCACTGGCAAAGGGAGTTTGGGATGGATTTTGAAACAAGAGGAGAGAATGGATCCAGATGAGTGAGGCATGTGCCCTGTGTCTCAGTCCTGAAGAGGTGTGGGTCCTGGACGTGTAGAGTCAACAGGGGTGGGGGGTGCCCATGGATCTCTGACTCCAGCTTATTCTTCCAGGAGAGGCTTCTGCTCTTAGGCTTCCCTGGTTTGCTTCTCCGTAATCTCCCTTGTTTCTTCTGTAAACATTGGAGTGCCCCAGGGCCCAGGCCTAGGTCCTTGCCTCTAGCCATTCTCCCTCTAGGTGATCTCATACAGGCCCATGGTGTCAACATCATCTCTATGCTAAAGACTAACAAATGTATATCTCCAACCCCAATTCACCAGTGAGCTCCAAACCCATTCATGCAACTGTCTACCTGATATCAGCCACTTGGACGTCAAACAGGCATCTAAAACTTAACATGGCCAAAATAGATTTTTTTTATTTCTCCTCCAAACTGCTCCTCCTCTGGTCTCTCCCATCTCAGAAAATAATACCATTCAAGCTAGGAGTCATTTTCAATTCTTCCCTTTCTCTCGTTGCAAACCCAATCCAATCCATAAGCGACTGCTGGCAGTCTTACCACCTTCTGTCCAACTCCATGACTATCACTCAAGTCCAGGCTCCTCTGGTCTTTTGCTTGGATGCTTCCGTCTCCAGTAGCCCACAACAGCCTCCCTAACTGACTTCTTGTTTCCACCTTTGTCCCAATCCCAAGGACTGACTTTTTAAATACAAAATAAGTCATGTTACCCGACCTGCTTAAGACTCCTGGCTTCTGTTGTTAAAATCCAAACTTCTAACTATAGTCTACAAGACATGGCTCTGACCCTTGTCTGTCTCCCTGACTTCAGGAGGCCTTCCCTGCCCCAGAATCAAAATTAATAATCCCACTATTAATTCCATTAATAACAATTGTCACTAAAAGATGATCTTGTTCATCTATTTGGATTTTTTGTCTTTCCACAAGAATGGAAGTTATATGAAGAAAGAGTCTCTTCTCTCATGTTCACCTCAGTGCTCAGAACAGTGCCTGGTACCTAGAAGGAATCCAACAAATATTTGTTGCATGAGTGAATAAAGGTAACAGAACATTCAGAATTATATAGTCTTTCCTCTGGAGGTTAAGTCCCCTCCATGAGTCATGACCACTGCAGATCCTATTGACTACTTGTGCGGTCAATTCCTCTACCTCCAAGAACTAATTCTCAACCAAGCCAATCTGAAAATGAGCTATGCACCTTTTCTTTCACACTTTATGTGAACTTTCAAAACCACTCCAAAGCTGTAAAGTGTGATCACGGCAGGCAATTCTTTAGTATATTCAGCTTAAATATTTTCTGCTGCATTTGAGACCTTATCCCTTTGTAGTCTCACTTAAATTGATGGTTATCTTTTATTTAGAAGTCTTTCTCTAATTGAGGATATTTAATAAATCACCAACTTCTTTAGTCTGTCTTACAGTTAACCTAAGTTTTTCATTAAAATTCAATTAATTATTACCTCCTTGAAAACTTCAATGTCTTTTAGAGACAAACGCTACAAAAGCAGGTGGTGTACAAGCAAAGATGTTCTCCCTGAAAGGCTGGCATGCGGTGGACATTAGTGCTTAGGACTATTGTAGGCTATGCACTTTCCAGCGAGGGCTGCACAACAATAAATACACATCTAAAGTAACAAGATGTCAGGAAAGATACTTAAACATGTAGTAGAGTAAAAAAGAACTGTATCTGCACTCAATACACCTGGCTTTGAATCGCAGACCACAGGGAAGTCATTTAACCCCTCTGAGGCTCGATTTCCTAATAAATGGCATTGATAAAAATACCAACCTCTGTGCGCTGTTGTGTCAAGGGGCTCACAAGAGCAAAGGCACCAATCTTGGTGTCTCACATGGTTAAGTCTCAAATATGCAAGTTGAATCCGAATCTGAAGCCCCAAAGTAGCTGGTTCTCTTAAAGTCCAAAGATCTGTGAGTGGATGACTCTTGCTATTTTATCCCCTTGGGATATTAACTCAAAACACCTATTTGGGTCAAGGACAATATAAATCAACACCAGAAAGGAAAGAATATCAGTGAGGTTTAGAGAGGAGGAAAGTACATCTTTTGACAAAGTCTATGATACTGAACATTTGAAGCCTATTTGACTACTTCTCAATTCTAACTGCTCTCTTCATAGATTTCTGGATAACTCTGCCTCCTTCAGAAGAAGTCACTTTTGCATAGGGCTTTTAGATGAGGATTTCCTTCAGAGAAGACTTTCTAGAGTTTGGAGCGATCAGGGACATGTGTGTAAATGAACGCATTAGGGACAGAGCTGACAGTTTGGGCCGCAACCCCCACCCCAGCATAGCCTTCTAAGAACTTCCAAGGCCCTTCCCTTACCAAAGTCTACCCTTATGTATTTATAGCTATCAGTAGATCTACTCATCACGGAGCAGTGGTACTCAAAGTGTGGGCCACGGACCCATGCCCATCTGCACACTGCTACTAGTTCATGATACGATAAACTCAGAAATTCAAAGTGCTTAGTAACTTCTCTAACAATTTGGCAGATATTTTATTTCTATTGACTTTAACAATAAAAATTGAGGGCTTATATTTTATATCTCTTTGCATTTATTTCTTTTCTATGGCAATCCATTCTGGTTGCAACTGCATTTCACGAAAGTCTCAGTACACACTAGACTGGGAACATTACAAAGGGATTCTTCACCACAGATAGATGGAGAAGCACTATCTGAAGCAAAACCATTTCTTTGCAGCTTGAAGATGTGGTATTGAGATCATCATACTAATTACCATTTATTCTGTGTTTATGATGTACCAGAAACTCTGCTAAATGTTTTATAAGCACTCTATCATTTAAGATTCACAAAATACATGATATCATCTCATTTTTAAAAAGAGGTCAGAGGATGTTAAAAAATCTGTTCAAGATTATAAAATGAAGAGCCACAGAACCAATATTCTTCTGACCACAAATAGGTCTAGAGAGGCAAATGAGAAGGCAGGAGGGAGGCCTGTGCCGCGTAAGGCCCTTAAAACTATATTGGCAGCATTTTGCCACATCTTTTCAATGTTCCTTTCCCTTCTTTCTGTCTGTGTGCCCTCCTCCTCCGCTTTCTGTTTTTCTTCTTTTTCATCCTTTTCTGTCTTCCCTTCTGCCTCTCATCCCCAAGCATGGGCTCAGCCAAAAGGCTAGGACCTGAGGTCACAAAAGCCCATGAACTCCATGACAGGATGTCCCTGCTCTGTGCAGTTGGAAGGATGAAGCCATAAGGAGGCATTAAATTCACATTCTCATTGTGCGCAGGAAGTAGGAAATTGGCATTGTCCTTTTATTATCAAACGGTAGTTAAGAGAAATGGATTCTCATTAACAGCACCAATTTTCAATAGCATAAATAATAGCTATATCCTTTTGGAAGCAAACATGCTCTGCTAACAAACTCAAATCATTTTTTTTTTTAGATATCTTGCATCCAAGTATTACAATGAATTCTAACTTTAAGTTAAAATATCACTTCTTTCCAAATCTTCACTCTTACCTGAAAATATGTCTTACCTGAAAACATTATCTGTCCATACACGTGGCTACATCCACAGTCATGAAAAGGCACACACATACGTATGGGTACACACATACACACGTATACAGCCACAGCCTTACTCACAGGAAGGCTGCCACCTGAAAAGATTCCCATGCTAACATTTTTTCCGGAGGTGTACCTACTGCTTTGCAGTAATGCCTCCTACCTGGGAACTAGTAAATACAGGCTTTATTTCTAAAGTGGTAATTAGATAGAATTTGGCTAAATAATTCTGCTTAAATGTGAAATAAGACAGTCACTACGACGCTATAACTGTATTTCCAACTAATGCTGCTCAGAAAACTGTTATACTTCTGGCAGAACAATGCACTAGTGTTCTGAAATACCTTTTTCACAAAATTCCGAGATGCTAGATAAATGACAACAAACATGCTAATTCATGCATTCTTAAGCTTTTAGGAAAGTAACAGAAATCTCCACGGTCAAAAAAACAAAAGCAGATGCATGTTATATAACTATTTTCTCCCAGTCTGCAGCTTGTCTACATCATTTTCTTTTCTTTTTAAGAAAAAGAAATAGTTTAATTTTAAGTATAATAGCACATTTCAAATTTGAATGATGGCAGATTCCTTAAGACAGTTCCCACACACCTGATGACAAATTTCAGACGTGATAAAATGTTTATGAGCTCTTCTGCAAAACTGTGAAGTATGTGACTGAACTATTTTCTTTTTTTTTTTTTTTTGTGCACGTCAGCCATGCGCAGGGGCCATGCTAATCTTTTCTGTATTATTCCAATTTTAGCATATGTGCCGCCAAAGCAAGCGCTACATTAATTTTCTTAATGGTGTCTTTTGATGAACAGGAATTTTTTTTGACAAAATCTAATTTACCAATTTTTTTGTTTTAATTGTTTGTGCTTTTCATGTTCTGTCCAAGAAATATTTGTCTATCCCTAACTCTCATAGATATTCCCAAATTAATATTTATCTACAGAGAGATATAACTGTCTAGATTCACTTTTTTTCCCTATACCCATATCCAGTAGATCTAGCATTATTTATCAAAAAGACTTTCCGTTCCCCATTGAACTGACTTTGTGCCTTTGTCAAAAAACCAAGCAACTGCCTATATGAGGGGCTCTCTATTCTTTTCCACTGATTTGTCTATCTTCACACCAATACCATATTGTCTTGTTTACTGTAAATCTTAAACTCAAGTAATGCAAGTCCTACAATTTTGTTCTCCTTTTTCAAAATTGTTCTGGCTTCTCTAAAGTCTTCGCATTTCCATATCAATTTGCAAATCGTCTTGCTTCTATCTTCAAATTAGCCTGCTGAAATTTTGATAGGGATACTACTGAATCTATATATTGATTTAGGGATAATGATATCTTAATAAGTCTTTCAATCCATAGAGATGGTATGCTCTCCATTTTTTTTAAAGACTTCTTTAATTTATTTCAGCAATGTTCTGTAGTTTTCAGTATAGAAGTCTTGCACATCTTTTGTCACATTTATTCCTAGGTATTTCATTTTGTTACTTTTTTTTTTAAAGATTTTTATTTTTTTTCCCTTTTTCTCCCCAGAGTCCCCCAGTACATAGTTGTATATTCTTCGTTGTGGGTCCTTCTAGTTGTGGCATGTGGGACGCTGCCTCAGCGTGGTCTGATAAGCAGTGCCATGTCCGCACCCAGGATTCGAACCAACGAAACACTGGGCCTCCTGCAGCGGAGCACGAGAACTTAACCACTCGGCCACGGGGCAAGCCCCATTTTGTGTTACTTTTAAATTACTTTTAATTCATTTAAATTGAATTATCATTGCAAGTATATATAACCTAATTAATTCTTTTATATATTGATCTTATATCCTGTTACTTTGCTAAATTTGCTTATTAGCTCTAGCAGTTGGTAGATTCTATCGCTAGATTTTCAAAATATATGATCATGTCGTCTTTGAAAAAAATTATAGTTTTACTTCTTCCTTTCCAATCTGCATGCCCTTTATTTCCTTTTCTTGCCTTATTAAAATGGCTCAGATCTATATGATAATGTTGAATAGAAGTGGTGAAAGTGAAAGTTCTTGCTCATTTTCAGATCCTAAGAGAAAAGGGACTAATATTTCACCATTCAGTATAATGCTAGCTGTAGGTTTTTTTAGATGCCCTGTTATGAGATGAGAAAGTTCTCTTGTATCACTAGTTTACTGTGAGTTTTTATTGTAAAGGAGTATTGGATTTTGCTATATTCTTTTGGTGCATCCATAGGGATGTCATATGCTTTTTTCCTTTTATACTGTTAATATGACACATAGTATTGACTGATTTTCAAATGCTAAACCAACTTTGCATTCATGGATTCAATATCACTTGGTCATGATGTATTATCTTTTATATTCTATCATATTTGATTGATAATATTTTGCCAAGGAATTTTGCATCTATGCTCATGATGAATACTATGCTGTAATTTTCGTCTCTTCTGATATACTTGTCAGGGTTAAGTATTGGAGTTATGCTTGCCACCTCAAATGAGTTGGGAAGTGTTTATTCTCCTTTATATTCTAAAAGAGTTCATGTAGGCTTGGTATTGTGTTTGGTAGAATTGACTGGTGAAGCCACATGGCCTGGAGGTTCTTGTGTGTGTGTGGCGGGGGGAAGGTTTTAGGTTATGAATTCAATTTCTTTAATAGATACAGGTTTATTCACATTTTCAATTTCTTGTATATGTTTTGACAATTTATGTTTTCAACTTGGCATTTTATCTAAGTTGTCGAATTTACTGGCATAAAATTATTCATACTATATCCCTATTATCTAATGTCTGTAGGATCTGTAGTGATAACCCCTTTTCATTCCTGATGTTGATAATTTGTGTTTTCTCTTTCTTTGAAATTTAAATTTCATAGGTAAGTTACAAAGTAAAGCAGATGGCAGTGAAGAAAATGCCAGTGAACTGTAAGATTTTTTTTTCAATGCAGCACATGAAATAAAAAGATGAGAAAAATGAAAAGGAGGTCAATAATAATGTTAGATAGAATGAAGGTCTTAAATAAGTCAAGTCAGAGTTCCAAAAAAGAGAGGAGATAGAAAGAGGAGAGGAAACATTTGAAAAGATAATAACTGAATTTCCCAGAATTGAGGAAATACTCAACTGAGGAAATATGTAGATATAGTAAGCACAACACATACAAAAGTGGGATAAATCAAAGGAATCCATAACTAGACACTAGAGTAAAACTACCCAACACCAAAGACAAAGTCTTTAAGAGCCTAAGAGAAAGAAGAAACTGATCACTTATTAAGGATGACAATGAGATCTCATCTGCAATGATGGAAGGTAGGATACAGGGATTATATCTTTAGAATGCTGAGAATAAATACTGTCACCTTTGAATTATGAATCCTGACAAACTAACATTTAAGAATGTGGTCAAAATAAAGATATTTTCAGATAAATAAACACTGAAGGAATGTGCACTGCTAAAGGAATCTCTGAAGAATGTACTTTAGAAAGAAAGAAAGCAATCTAAAAACAAAACTCCAAGAAGGGATAAACAATGGTAAGCAAAAAATGTGGTAGACGTGAGTAAATCTAACAAAATATATTTGTTTAAAATAATAAGCATTATGTCTAAAAAGTTGGGTTATAAATTAGAACTGCATATTGGTCAATAATAGCTTATAAGCCAAAGCAGGGTAAAATGAATACTGAGTTTTTACATCAAATGGTAGGAAGGTTAAGGTATTGAGTTTATAAAAATTTCATTAATTTAAGAATGCCTGCTTACAACAAAAGACTCCGAATAGCCAAAGGATTCCTGAGAAAAAAGAACAAAGCTGGAGATACCACACTCCCTGATTTCAAAATATACTACAAAGCCATAGTAACCAAAACAGCATGGTATTGGCACAAAAACAGACACACAGATCAATGGAACAGAATCAAGAGCCCAGAAAAAAACCCCATACATTTATGGACAGCTAATATTCAACAAGGGAGCCAAGAGCATACAATGGAGAAAGGAGAGTCTCTTCAATAAATGGTGTTGGGAAAACTGGACAGCCACATGCAAAAGAATGAAAGTAGACCATTACCTTACACCATGCACAAAAATCAACTCAAAATGGATTAAAGACTTGAATGTAAGACCCAAAACCATGAAACTTCTGGAAGAAAACACCGCCAGTACGCTCTTTGACATCGGTCTAGCAGCATATTTTCAAGTACCATGTCTGACCAGGCAAGGGAAACAAAAGAAAAAATGAACAAATGGGATGACATCAAACTAAAAAGCTTCTGCACAGCAAAGGAAAACATCAACAAAACAAAAAGACAACCTAACAATTGGGAGAAGATATTTGCAAACCATATATCAGATAAGGGGTTAATATCCAAAATATACAAAGAACTCATACATCTCAGCAACAAAGAAACCAACAACCCAATTAAAAAATGGGCAAAAGATCTGAACAGAGATTTCTCCAAAGAAGATATACAGATGGCCAACAGGCTTATGAAAAGATGCTCAACATCATTAGCTTTCAGGGAAACACAAATCAAAATTACAATGAGGTATCTCCTCACTCCAGTCAGAATGGCTATAATTAACAAGACAGGAAACAACAAGTGTTGGAGAGGATGTGGAGAGACAGGAACCCTCATATACTTGGGAGTGCAAACTGGTGCAGCCACTATGGAAAGCAGTATGGAGTATCCTCAGAAAATTAAGACTAGATCTACCATATGATCCAGCTATCCCACTGCTGGATATTTATCCAAAGAACTTGAAAATGCAAAGGCATAAAGATACATGCACCCCTATGTTCACTGAAGCATTATACACAATAGCCAAGACTTGGAAGCAACCTAGGTGCCCATCAAGGGACAAATGGATAAAGAAGATGTGGTATTTATACACAATGGAATACTACTCAGCCATAAGAAATGATGAAATCCAGCCATTTGTGACAACACGGATGGACCTTGAGGGTATTATGCTAAGTGAAATAAGTCAGAGGAAGAAAGTCAAACACCGTATGATCTCACTCATAAGTAGAAGATAAAAACAAAGACAAACAAACACATAGCAACGGAGAATGGATTGGTGGTTACCATGGGGGAAGCAGGGGGGAGGGCAAAAGGGGTGATTAGGCTCACATGTGAGGGGATGGACTATAATTAGTTTTTGGGTGGTGAACATGACGTGATCTACAGAATTCAAAATATATTATGATGTACATCTGAAAGCTATATAATGTTATAATCCAATGTTACTGCAATTAAAAAAAATAAAAAAAGAATGCCTGGAAAAAATTAAAATTTAGCTACTGAAACAGACATAGAATGCTAACTTCAAGTCTGATAGCAAGTGTAAGCAGAATAAGCGGAAAAAAGAATAAAAAAGCCATGTTTCTCTGATAAGACTATGCATTGAAAACCCCAAAGAATCTATATATAATTTAACAGAATTAAGAGAGTATAACAAGATTAATGAATAAGAATATCAATATCCAATAATCCACTGAAATTCTAGATACTAGAACAATTAGAAAATTAATCATAAAAAGATACCATTTGTAAAAGCTACCAAAGTCATGAGGTACCTAGGAATAAATCTGACAAAAGATGTGAAAGACCCTTCTGGAGTTATGAAATTATATTGAAAGACATTAAAGAAGGCACAGATAAATGAAGGCATCTATATGTTCATGGATAGACTTACTATTGTAAATGTCAGTTCTCCCTAAATTGTGCTATAGGACACAACACATTCCAATAAAAACTCTAACAGAGATTTTCTTGGAACCTGATAAGGATGTTAAAA